CTGGGGCTGTCCGTGAAGTAAAGTAGAAAGAACAAAATGAGAAGAGCATGAGGACCCCACCATTGCCACCACCACCACCCTCTTTCCCACTTCCTCTACTTACAGGGTCAGAGTTCTCTTGTTCTTTGGTATCTCAGCCTGGCAGTGGTAGTGCAAGTCTGTTTGGAGTTGGTCTTGGGGCAGAGCCCACAGAACAAGAATAAACAGACAGATATTTCCTTACACTTTCTGTGTTGTAGAAGCACCTTTTCTCCTACATAGCTCCCCATTCAACCCACTTTGAGGTAACAGCCGGAAAAAAAAAAAAAAGGAAACTCATTGCAAGGGTCTTAATTCTTAAAGCAGGTGTTTGATACAAAGATGCTTATTTTACTATTATTTCATACTTTATATTCACCCCTCTATATGAATGAACCACTTTATACAAGAAGAAATGATGCAAAGACAAAATAAAATAAATGAAATTTTAAAACCTGGCCCATGACCACTAAAATTGGAAGGGCTCTAAATGAAGCAAACGCAAAGTTGTCCTGAGGGACGTTATCATAATCTAGAATTTAAAGGATTTTCACCACACGGATCTTCCATTGAAGATGAGTGAGGAGCCACGAGAGGAAATAAACCACCAGAAAATAAACAAAAGAGAAATAGCAATCCAAAAACAGATGGTAATGAATAGGGCAGTTTACAGTCAGAGAAAGGAGATTTGTGAAAGAACCTATCACTCTTCTAAAAATGAAAATATAGCCAATGACATTAAAACTCACTGAAGATATTAAACATTGGATCAGCAAAGGTTAGGAAAGGATCAGGGAATTAGAACATAGATTTGAGGACATCAACCAGGATGAGCTGCAGAATATGAAGAAACATGAACCATGTTTACACACCTAAGGCACATGAATGTTAGAATGAGAAATTCACATGTATGTCAAATAAGAGCTCCAGAAGTAAAGAATAGGAAAAAAAAAAGGAGGAAAGGCTGAAGATTTAAAGATTGAAGCCTTCAGATAAAGAAAGCATATTGACTTTTGAGCAGCATAACTAAAAGTAAACTATAAATCAATTCTCTATGAATCTTTCAGTAAATAAAAAAAGGAACACTTGGTCCCTAGTTTACCTTAATATAAAATCCAGAAAAAGCATAAAAGCCCAATAGTTCATATAAAACACAAAAATCCTCACAAAATATGAGTTGTATCTAGCAGTTTATATAGAAAGAATAACATAACATGATCAGCTGAAGTTTATCCAGGTAATGAAAAGTGGTTCAGCATTTAAAAGCTCTATCATTGTAATATACCTTATCAATAAATTTAAAAAAGAAAAACTACATGATCATCTTAATAGATTCAGGAAAAGCATTTGACAATATGTAAAATTCCCTCATGATTTAAAAAAAATCTAAGCAAGCCAGCTACTCAGGAAGCATAAATAGGAGGATCACAGTCCATGTCAATCCTGTCAGAAAATAAGGCCCTATCTGAAAAATAACCAAAAATAACATGATCAACTAAAATAACTAAAGCAAAAAGGGCAAGAGGCGTGGCTCAAGTATTAGAGGACCTGTCTAGCCAATGCAAGGCCCAGTAGGACCTGCCTCCTAAAAAGAAATCTAAACAAATTAGGAATTAAACTTCCTAAACCTAATAAGGAAAAACTATGAAAACTACAGCAAACTTTGCAGTTGCTGGTGAAACACCAAATGCTTTCCCCAAAAGACTGCAAATAGGACAATGATTGCTGGTTTCACTAGTCCAATTCCATATTGCAGTGACAGTCTTAAGCAGTGCAATAACACTAGAAAAGAAATACAAGTCATACATACCGATTATAAAGGAAGGAGTTAAAGTGTCTTTATCTGCAGATTTCAAATGTGCCTACCTTCATATTCATGAAACACACCTCAGTACTGTTAGTAGTTATTAGTTTAGGTTTTTTAGTTCATTAATATTTCATAAGACTAATCAAAATAATAAGATATATTTCTTTTTAAATAGTTTATAATTCAGAAGTTAGCAAATTCCTATGACTCCCTCACTTAAACTGAATTATATGATCCTTTGTTTTGTCTGAATTTTCTTCTGAAGACTCTCTCTTGCCCTCTGCTGTCCATTTATTGAACATAAATCAATAAATAAAATATTCATTGAAACATTTACATCGAGACAGTACAAAATCTGATTTGAGTTAATCTTAAAAATGCTTTACATTTTTTGTTATTATAAATGTAAAACAAGTTCACTACTAGCCACATATAAAAATGCAATAAATCTGTCTTTAGAATACCATTCTCAAGTGGTATTCATCCTCTGGAATTGATTCTATGAAATATAATTTTATATTAAATTTATTATATAATAATAGTTATTATTACAGTATTGAGACACACTACTCATGCAATTTGATATTTCCTCTTCACTTACTATTACTATGGTGTGTTTCCTATATCATTGACTCATCTTCAAAATATAATTTGTAAATTGCTGTATAATATTTCAGATATCTACTCATTTATTACTCTGTTTGGGGCCATTTAAATTCATGCAATAATTCCCTATTACAAGGAGTCCTGAACAACAAAATTACTTGAACATCTCTTATTCATGCTTATATCCTCTCAAACACAGTTTCTGGGTCATATGTACACATATTTTTAAGGCTTTTCATGCATACTGTTGAATTGAACTCTGAAAAGTTTGTATTAACTTACACCCCCATCAGACATATGTTCATGACAGGAATGGCATTTTAAAATCGAAGAAGAAAAACTGTCTTACAAGTAAACCATGAATAAGGAAAAAAGTTATATCTGAGTCTCTGTGAGATGAATAGTTTCTTTTTTTTTTCTTCAAAATTGCTGGGAAAGTAGGACTTTCTGATAGAGTTATCAGAGGGCCAGACCTTCTAATTGCTTAATCTTAATGTTTCTGAATATCATCTATAATGCAAAGAGAATAATAATTGTCCTGCTAAACAGTGTTTTGTGAGGATACAGTGAACGGTTTTTGAACTCTACAATGTCATACACATGGAATATATAATTTTTATTACACACTATTGACATGGAGACAGATTTGATACTTGATAAGTTGTTTTAAAGTGTCAATAACTCCTTAATATCATATCAATTAATTTTCAACTTCTACAATCAGAAAGGTAATTTTATCTAGTTTTGTTTACTTGAAAATTGTGAGGTGATTGTGTCACATAGGCAAGTAAGGCTCAGTTGCCAATTCTATTAAATCAGTTTGTTTCTGCAAAGGAAAAATTACCATAGAAACAGAATGATTTATTAGAGATTCACATTTGATCCAAAATATCTAGCACTTCTACAGCAAACTGGAGTACTTGCTTAAACCAGTGCCTTCTTCAAATTTCTTTTCAAACTTATACTCGTGGGTTGTAGTAAAAATAGTTTGAAGATTAGTCTGAATAATTATGGGCACATGAAACAAAGTCAATGACATAATTCACTCAAGGGCTCTAGGTGAACCTAAAAACTAGCACCTATCACGAGTCTTCTCTAACTCAAGAAGAGTATGGGCAGAGGAAGGATTAGGGAGACAGAAAGGAGGAAAGGATAACTTAAGAACACACTGAATTTTTAAAAAGGAAATGGCAATCAAGCACCCTTGAAGACGTCCAGTCTGTCTACCTCTCCATCACTACAGTTCCAAAAATTCTGGTCATCGCACTTCGCTAAAGGCATCAGTGCTTGAAGGCACTTTGAATTGTTTCAGCACTTGCATTTTATTAAATGTTATTTAGGGATTTAGGGAATGATTTATAGGACAAGGTAGGGGCAGAGAAAGAGAGAAAGACCAAGCAGGTAAGGAGGAAATAAACCCGCCCCCTTTTCATTATTTTTGCTGTCCATATAATAAAAAAACATAAATGTAAAAGAGACCTTATCGAGTTACTTAGCGCAATCCATCATTTAACACTGAAGAAACAGGCCCACGCGACACAGATAAACCAATGTAGAGGCAGAAAACTAATCTGATGCCCAGTTTTATGCTTTTCCACCCGACCAAGTTGACTCCCTCTCTCTTAAAAGTTTTTATTTTAGCCTTAAACCCGAGGATGATTTGTAGTTAAAGAGATCAATGCTGCTCTCAAAACAAGTTCTCTCAAATTTTTATTGATGACGTAGAATCCATGTTACCCCCTAAAATAAAAATACTGTGCTGTACATTGCAGTTTTGTAGACCGTGCACCGCATTGTCATCAATTATCTTATTGGACCCTAACAACCCCTTGGAGGCAAGGAAAGAAAGACATTGTAGTTCTCATTGTAAGAGCGAGAAATAAAATTCAAAAACATCCAATGACTGGCATAAGATCACTTAAAGTCCGGAAGGAGCCAAGAATGTTACTCCCACACAGCATTTGCTACCGAAAAGGAAGTACCCTCAAAAAGCACCAGTCTGTCTCCCTTCTCTTGCCAAGGAATTCTCCATTTCCAGCTGCCATCCCCTTCCCCCGCTCCCATACACACACTAGTTTAGCGAACCTAATCTTTGCACCTAGTTCTCATCTTTAAATGAGCAGTATCTTACCCCTTCCCTTGATCCTGATTCTTACTTAGGCTCCTATTTTTCGTTTGGGGTTTTGGCCTCCTGGGTCTCACTCCAAAGCTCCACCCTCTCCAAACAAGAAATCGCGTCCTTGGTATCCAAGGTGACGACGCAGGCTTACTGGTTGCCGCTTCTGCTCTTTCCATTGGCCAGCTGGAGTCCCTTTGTAGCTGTTGCCGGTCCTCCAGTAGCCAATAGGCTTGAGGCAAAAGGAGCGTGCTTTTCTCAGCCCTGTCTAACACGGTTCCTGTGACCCATTTTTATTCTGCGCACTACCTCCTGGGACATGTAGTTTGTAGGCCTCCAGAAAACTCCGATGTTTGGCATCTTTAGAACTACATTTCCCGTAGGCCATCGCGAAAGGGGGAGGACGTAGGCAAGAGTAGGGGTCAAGATTTGTAAACCAGTTTTGAAATTCCAACTTGCCCCAGTGGTTTTCGCTGCTGAGGTTTAAATCACCTAGTCAAGAGGGTGGGTTTGCTCTGGTTTTAGCAAACCCTCCCAGATGTCTCCTTTTTGACTTGAAACACCTCAGTGGTCAAGCCGATTGACCGTGGCAAGTGGCTAAGGTGTTCCGGGGAGGGCGAGCGGGGCACGTCATGCTCGCCGCCTGCTGCGGCCGGTGGCTCGGCTGCCTAGGACTCCGTCAGCCCCAAGTGTGGGCGGGCGCCGGGCGCTGGGCTGGTCAGGTTTGCCAGGCCAGGCTGCAGGGCTCTGGTGGCCCGCGGCGGCTAGGCTCCGAGCCCGATATCCCCACGCCCGGCCCGGCGCGCCGGATTTTGAAGGAGTGGACGCTGCGGGTGAGCCCGTTCGGTCGGCTGTGGGCACGGCTCCCATGCCACCTGGCGGTGAGGCCCCTGGACCCCCTCGCCCACCCTGATAGCGACCGCGTGCTGGTCTCCGTGTGCGGCAAGGAGGGCGGGGCGCGGGGCCTGGACGGCCTGCAGGTGACTTACGACGCGGCCCTGCAGGAGATGGCCGTGGTGGCCGACGGCATCGACCCCCGGGCGGCGGTGGAGGTGCATGTACCCCTGAAGTTTGGCAAGTGGCGCGGAGTTAAAACGAGTTTGTTAAATTAGGCCGTCGTGCATTTTTAATCGGTGCCTTTGGACCTGATTTTCTAACCTAATTTACAGTTGGCCCCTTTGGAGGCCTCCTCCTTGTTTTTTCTGCTCCACTCTGAGTTCCTGGGTAGCGTTTAAGAATTAGGTTTCCAATGTAAGGAAAAATCTAAAATCGAATGGAAATATGGTTCAGAATAATCCAAGTCAAGTAACATCTGTGGAGGCCCTTGTGTTCTTTGTCACCTTGTCATTTGCAGACTGGTTTGTTTTTCACGGTTGAGGTTTCTGGACAGTCCATTCAATGAATGGCATGATAGCCCATCCACATTTTTTCTTGCTCACACCTGGAGTTCTGTCTCCAAACAGCTCTGTCTGTGGGATGTTCCATAGCCAACCTGGGTTTCAGATACACACCCCTCTTCTTACTAATTAGGAGGGTTCTCCAAGCTGTCACTCTTCCTGGAACTGAGGATGATGGTGATAGGTCACAGTAATACTTTAGCATTTCTAAGATACTCTGACCTAATTCTGACAGTCACACTATAAAGTGGATGCTGTTACTGTCCTCTTTTCAGATGATGAAACTGAGATACAGGAAGTATCATAAAGTAAATAGTTAACTGTGGATGCACAAGTAGAAATAAAGTCCACAGCTTCATGAAACTTACATTCTAGTGAGAGTGGGTGAAGAAATGCCTTCTCTCTCTTAGATACAGTGGTGCAGCTGGGCTGAGAACTGACTGGAATTGCTCAACCACTGTGCTTTATTGCTTGTCAACTTCTAACTAACTTAGATGAGGAAGAGACCCTGCCATCAAAATCTTAACAGTCTGGGGGTGCTGGTGGAGGTTTTGCCCTTAGTACAAAGTAGACTGAGTAGTGAGTAGAGCTAGGCAAATTTGATAGTAGCACGATGAAAATGGATACTGTCTTCTCCGTGATTCCAAACCTCAGTGTTTGCGGCTTCCTCTTCTTAGAGCCAGAAACCTATTTCCAATGTACTATTTCCATGGGTCTATTTCATAGGAAATCTGCATAACTCACTTTTCTTCATCCATGTTCCTCCAGTTTGTCCATTACCTGTTTGGGTGGGTGAAGGTAGCATTTCCACCACTGTCTGGCTTTAATATCTCCACCTACTTAGTGAAGGTAGAGTATGTTTAGAGTCTTGTGTCATTTTCTCCATATTTTTCAATGCTGTCTTTGATACAGCCATATGCTGTAACATTACTTAATTAGGAAATAAACTTTGCAGTTATATTTGCATTATGCCTGTGTGGGATAAGACGTCTTTTTATATATTCTCACTCAGTAACCAAACTAAAAGGTTTGGTTAAATTAAAAGGTTATTTTAAACCTTTACAGAGACTGCTGTACAACTGTGGAAATTGATTTTATGTCATAACTATTGAAGTTGTGGCATTAGGCCCAGTAACTCGTTTAGGGGAGCATAGTGTTTACTTGTGTAGTCTAAGGGAACTCATCAGTGTTTATGTGAATTAAGTATTAAATATCAGTGTTTCTAGTCATTTTACTACAGAGATACCTATGGTTAAATCTTAAATTGAGAGCACTGTGATACTGATTTTCCAAACTTCTTCAAAGTTCTCCAAACTTGTTATTTAGCCACAATATTAGGGTTTTAATGTTGTTTAGTATTGGGTTTTTCAAACTGGTTCCCATTTTTAAAAATTACTTCAAATACCTTGTGGGTATAGCTGCATGGTAATATTCTCATTTTTTTAGGTATGAAAGGTTGGAAAATTTGAAATCCTAGGTCATGATCATATGTACTTATCCATGATTATCCTGTAATATGCTTTTAATTTGGGGAGGTTTGGGAACAAATCTTTAAATCTTCCTAAATACAGGAGACAGTAGGCCTACTGACTTACCCGATTTATCATAAGGACTTGTTAACTTGATCTATTCTTATTCCTGTGTGTGCGCACACACACAACATGTATTGTTTTCTCAGTGGGAAAAGGGTTTTTGTGATCTTCCACATGAGACATGAGTACCTAAAAGAATTGCAGTCTTAAAGCAGGGTGCTAGTGTCTCATGCCTGTAATCCTAACTACTTGGAAAGCTGAGGTAGGAGGATTGCTGTTCGAGGCCAGCCCAGGCAAATAGTTTGAGACCCTATCTCCAAAATATCCAGGGCAAAATAGTCTGGAGGTATGGCTTAAGTTGTAGAGCACCAGATTTGAAAGTGCGAAGTCCTACATTCAAACCCAGTGGACTGTAATTCCAGAAACTCGGGAGGCAGAGATGGCAGGGCCAACCCAGACAAAAAGTTAGAAAGACCCATCTCAATAAACAAGTAGGACATGGTATCATGTATTATGGGAGGCATAGGTAGGAAGATTACCTGTCCTGACCAAAAAACAAAATAAAACAAAACACTAGACCCTATCTGAAAAAATAAAGCAAAAGAGGCTGGGGACATGGCTCAAGTGGTTGAGTACCTGCCTAGAAAGTGTTAGGTTCTGATCACCACAAAGAAGGAGGAAGAGGAGGGGGTAGGGAGGAGAAGAAGCAAGAATTACAGTCTCTTACCTCCTTTTCATTCTATCTATGTTACTTTTCGATTATAGTGATCCACAAAAATAATTATTTCTAAAAACTGGCCGAAAGGCCATTGCATTTGATCCTTTACATTAAAATATGTAATTAAAATTTTTTAATTAAAATTGTTAAATATTAAAATACAAATAAAAATACTTTTTTAAAGATAAAGACTTCTTACTTTTAGAGAGAGACTGTTGACCAAGATACTGTCTCCAGAATTCAGTAACATAAGGGATACAACTGAGCACCTGGGCTTTGAAGGGGTACTGAAATGCTTTGAAGCTCATTAGTACTAACTTACATTTTCTTTTTTTTACTTGTAGATTTAAATATTAAGTCATCAGGATCTGGCTGTGTAAAAGTCCAAAATATTGAGTGTGATCATTGCAAAATTGAAACCGAGCAGGGGACCAGCACCTTACAGTCTGTTAAGGTATAAGCATTTTTCTAATTTTGTTACAATTTGAAAAACCCTTAAAATACAAACTTTAGTATCTAACTAAAGTGATTATTCTAGTTTTTCAGATTTCAACCTTCATTCATTCATTTGTCAGAAATTCTTTACAAAAGTTTTGCCTTGACCTCAGTTTTGTTTTGAAACTACAAATGTAGCAACTTTGAAGATTTCACCTAATATTTCTCTTATATATCATATCAAAGTGTACAGTGAAACTCAGAGTATATTCTTAGTATTCTAAGATCTTAGTAAGATAAAGAAATTTTAGTTTTTCCAATAATGTTGTTCCACTTATTAGAGTAAGGAAAAGTCTTTTTATGTACTAGAAATGTCCTTAAAATATTCAGTTACTTTAACCACATTTTTAATATACCTATCAGGTGGCTTTTTACTTAAGGACCAAGTGGCTGTTTATGCAGAACAAGTGATGGCTCATTGTGTTTTAGTAAACATTTTTATATTTAATTTGCTTAAAATTAGATTGGTCTTAGCTATAGAAGATTTGAAATACTTGTCTGATAGGCAGTTTGTTGTAACTCCTAGTTCTGCTAGCACTTGCATAGTCAAAATGCAATACTTTAGCAAACTTTGACTGTAGGTAGGTCATTTTGTTGAAGAGAAGTCTGTCATAATTGCAAAACATTTTCATCTTTAGGTTTATAAACACTAATGATGATTAATTGGTGGATATTTATTTTTACATCATTCATTTTTATGCATCTCTATTTGCATAATGATTTTCAATATCTGTCCACATATAAATCAATTTTAAATGAATTTAGTTGCACAAACATCATAAAAGATTTTCCTGCTTTAGTAAAACAGGTTGGGTTCAGATTCTTGTAAAAGATTGTACAATGAAATCTTCATTCTTAATGACAAACTGCATGAGAATACCAGAGTTCCTTTTTGTCCTTAGAAATCTATCCTTCACTCATCTGATGCTTAAGTTTTAGAGAATTAATCTTGAATATTGACTTCTAAAGACTCAGAGTTGGGGATTTCCAGTTTCATAGTCAAAATTACAATCTAAAACGCTGCTATCTGTTTCTTTGCATTCATCTGATAATTGTTTTATTGAGATAGAATTATGCTATGTAGCCCAAATTGACCTCAAACGCTCTATCTTTCTATCTCAGCCTCTCCAGTGCTAGAATTACAACCACGCACCACCATGCCCAGATTCATCTGATAACTCAGAAACATATTTGTCTGTCAGTTTTCTTCTTTCTTTTTGCCATTATGGATACAAAACAAAAGATGGTTTCTCAGTCTTGGCACTACTGACATTTGGGCCAGATAATTCTTTGGGGTAGGGGTCTACCCTGAAGTATAGGATGTTGAGCACCATCTCTGGTCTTTTCCTTATAGACACCAGTAAAATGCTCCTATCTATCCTAACTATCTCCAGACATTGCCAGATGTCCTTTGGGGACAAATCATCTCTAGGCAAATCCATCATTCTTTTGGTTTCCTATTATTTTTGTCTTTTTCTTAGTACAGCTGGGGACAAATGATGAATAATGGTGATATAAGTCCTAGAAGAATGAAGTAGTAAAATATTTTAAGACATAAGAAAAATAAAGAAAGTTATCCAAGAATCCCATAAGAAAAGTTATCCCAGAATGTATTTTAGATTAAAAGAGTTCACTGAACCAATATGGTCATTTCAAGATAGAATGAGTTTAATTCTATTTTTAAAGAATAAGTAATTTTAAAATTTGTTCTTTAGAAGACATCTAAGGAAGAATATCAGTCCTTATAAATAAAATCACCTAAAAAAGAAATTCAAGAACAAAAACTAGGCATATGATACTTGGTGTACTAAGGGTTACAAGAATTTTTTTTTACTGAACTCTGTAGCTCACACCTGTAATCTCAGCTACTTGAAAAGCAGAGATCAGGAAGATGGAGGTTGAGGCCAGCCTGGGCAAAAAGTTAGCAAGATGCCATCTCAATAAACAAGTGGGGCATGGTGGCACATGTCCATGAGTCTAGCTACATGGGAGGCCGTAAGTAGAAGGATCAAGGTCTGAAGCTGGCCCAGGGCAAAAATGAAAGACCCTGCCTGAAATGTAATAAAGGAAAAAAGGACTGGGGATGTGGCTCATATAGTACGGCACCTCCTTACCAAGCACGAGGCCCTGAGTTCAAACCCTAGAACTGCCAAAAGAGAAAGAGAGAATATTATTCTTGAGATCTTGGATTTAATACCTTAAGTTCACAGATGAGAGCACCTTGGTAAAATATCTGGTTTCAGTTTTAAATGTGGTGGAATATCATCATGAATTAGTGATCATCTGTTAATATATCTTTCATTTATTTGAAGTCTTCTGTACAGTTGATCTATGTAATAAATTTTATAGCAATAATAATTACTATTAATTAGTCCTTAGTATGTACAGGAATCCTAGCTAAGCCTTTGTTTAATACTTGAAGCCTCTCCGTTTTATCAAGGAGAAAGCAGGAGGAAACAAGAGACTTTGAGACTCATTTGAGTTCACATAGCAAAAAAAAAAAAAAAAAAATTGAGCTTGAATTTGACCTTGAATCTTCCTCATTCCCAAGCTCATGCTCCTTCTATCTTTCTTTATTATCTAAGCAAAACATATGGCAATATAACATTTATTCAGCATGCTTAGGAAATAAGGTAAGTACATTTTTGGGCAATAGACCCTTAATTCATTGGGTGCCTCACATTTATGATTTTTTTAAAATGTAGTATACTTTTATTTCCTAAATAATTTCTCATTTATTTTTACTACTTATTTTTTTTAATTTCACATTTTTGGGGAATTAGATTAACTTTGAATTATAACAGCAGCTTAGTGTTTTCAAGCCTTAGATCTGTTGGAAAATCTCATGATTGTCTCTAGGAAAAAATACACATGTATAAGAAATTTTGTGCTGGGTGCTGGTGGCTCACATCTCTAATCCTAGCTACTCAGGAAGCAGAGATGAGAAAGATCGCACTTTGAAGCCAGCCTGGGCAAATAATTCGCAAGACCCTATCTCAAAAAAACCCTTCACAAAAAAACGGCTGGTGGAGTGGCTCAAGGTTTAGGCCCTGAGTTTAAACCCCAGTACTGGAAAAAAAAAAAAAAAAAAAAAAAACCACAAAATTTTGTTTATAATTTTATAAGTTTCACAGTCTCTCTAGAAATCCCTGTAAGCTTGTTTAAGAAATCTTGATTTGAAACAACAGTTGTTTTAGAGATAGACTTGTCCAGGATTTATTAATGATTTGCCTAATAAAAAGTATATTAAATATAGTTTGACTTTTTGTTTGTCATGCTGGGATCAAACCCATGGCTTTATACCAGCTGGGCCAGCACTCATGTCTGTGGGCATGAAGAAGTTAACCATGCTACAACACAAACCGTTTTAGGCATGATTCATTTTGCATTTTCACTATATTTTTTTCTGGCACTGGGATTTGAACTCAGGGCATTACCTTGCTAGACTGGGGAGTTCTACTACTGAGCCACACTTCTGGCCCTTTTGCTTTAGTTATTTTTGAGATAAGGTCTTGCTTTGCATCTGGCCAGCCTGGACAGAAATCCTCTTATTTATGCTTCCCACTTATCTTAAAGGCAGGCATGTACCACCACATCTAGCTGTTGGTTGAGATGGGGTCTCACAAACTTTTTGCCTAGGCTGGTCTTGTACCATGATCCTCTAGATCTCTGCCTTCTACATAGATAGGGTTACAGGTGTGAGCCACTGCACCCAGCTGATTTTCACTAAATTTTAAAAAATTGATTCCTGGGCTATTTTACCTGAAGTTTTATATTTTCCCTCCCTTCCCCCAGTAAAGCAACCAGAAGCTATGCAGTTGTTTTGAGTTTTTGTCTCATTAATGTTGGCGAGTTTGCTTTTGCTATATTGTAGCCTTTGCAGCTTCTCCTATTTACCTGTTCTGTCCCTCTTTGTGATTGTAGCAGAAGATGTACATAGTGGTTGAGGGGAAGTAAATGACTCTAAAAACACAGACCAGACATCTAATAGCTCATATACAATTATAGTTTCTTACCTTTGACCAGGTGTGCGGTAGCTCTTTTCCATTCAGTGATTCCTTGAATCTTCTGGCTCTAAACTAGAATCGCTGATTAGAAAAAATCTGCCCTCATCTGTTGGAAGGCGAAGAGCACAGAGAAGGCACACCTGTCCTAAAAGCACCAGCCTGGAAGTGGCACACGGAGTCCCACTTGCATTCTGTTGGCGAGAACACAGCAAACCCATGAAGTTCAGGAGGCTAGAAAATTGTCTCATCGTGGGCCCAGCTGATATGCTTCATTTGGAGAACCAACAGTAGTGACTTCCACAGTTGCCAAGTGTGAAATCAAGTTACACATACACATGTGTGGGGTCTGTCAGAGGCTGACTGGCTCGTGACTGCTGTTTTATTCCTATGTCGGGGCATTTTCACCTAGCTTTACTTTCTGGGGTGCGTTATGCTTAGAAAGTGTAACAGTGGGCTGTTACCCTGAGCATGATCTGTCCTCTTCCAGACCACTCCAGCCTTATTATTTATTCAGAATTCTCAGAACGGGGTTCCGAAAAGTATAATAGCCATGTCTTTGGGTGTTGCAAGGATTGAATGATCTGGATCCATGTAAAGTAGGAGCATCATCCCTGGTGCTGAGAACCTGCCAAAGAAGTAACAACGATTATTAGTATAGTAATGATTTATATTAATAATTATGAATGGTGCCAGGGTTAATATTGTCACCCTCATTTGTGTTTACTTAGCCAGACACAATGATCCTTGACTCCCCTGCTTTTCTTAAGTGAAGCCATTAGAATATTCAGGTATCTCTTCTTCTTCCTTTGAGTGCAGGTGGTTCATTGAACTCTTTTTTCCAGTTGACATTATTATTCTAAACAGATGAGTTTCTATTTCTTCCCAGGTTCTTCTTTTGCTGCTTTATTATTACTAAAAAAAGAAATATTGCAAATGCTTCTTTAGTATAAGTCAAATTGACTCTCTCTTTTTTCTCCATATATTTCTGTGTTTGTCTTCCAGAGTCAAAAAATACATGTTCTAACAAAAGGAGGCAAAGTGATCTGTCTGGGAACAGTTTATGGAAATATAGATATCCATGCATCAGACAAAAGTGTAAGGTTGAAACTTTGTTTTAGTTATTATAATTTTGTTTTTGGTTGGGTCACAAAAGTAGGTAGCTTCTACAAAGCTTGTGGTGTAGCATTTCCTTTTGATACATTTGGTTAATTAATAAATTCAAATTTGGAATTGAGGTAATTAAATATTATGCACTTTAAATTTTAGTTTGTGATTTAATACTTTTGATAGTCATTACATTCCTTATTTCGAATCGGTAAAACTTAAATACTTAGCATTTAATTCTAATTCAAAGGAGATTTTATTGTAATGATCATTGATTAAAATAAAGTAATACTACCAGTATCTATCTGGATTGGGTTTTTCTTATGTGTTAGGTTTACTTGAATACAGTATTTTCCAAGACCTGTTTACTTTGCTTTTATGCAAACGGAAGGATCAATTTTGAAACTCAACTTTCTTTAATATTTCCACAAGGTGGCACCATTCCTTTTTTGTAGTAGTAGTAGTAGTGGTAGTAGTCATGGGGAGTTTGATTATTATAGGAAAGTAGATGTAATTTTTAGTTAGGTATTCTTATTGCTTTCTGTGATTTAACATAATACTAAGAGTATTAAGATAGTATTATGAGTAAGGGAGTAATTTGGGAAGTATAAGTTGTCAGTTTTTAAAATGTGATCAATAATGTCTTAAATGTTTAAGAAAAATCTAAGTCTTGCTTTAGAGTTTCACAATTTACAAGGGTCTTTTGCTAAATTTCATTCCCAGCTTTATTCTCAGATAATTGATGGGAGGAGTTGTGAGCCTATCTTACAGCTAGAGTATGCTGGCATAATTTTAAAAAGGTAGATTATAACACTACTTGTTTCTATTGGTGACATTTAATTCACTATCACCTTTCTCTTAGAGCCATTGAGAGGCTGTTTAAATCCAAATATTTATATGTATCCTTCGAATTAAACTAGAAGAGTGTTCAAAGGCTGTATGGCCTTAGATGACAGCCCTTTTGAGATGGCTTTTGGTTTTACTGATAAGATTACTGTGGTCTTAGAGTTACAAGAGGAAACCACAACTTTGCATCTCCTAAGCTCAGCCCTCTAATTTATGGCCAGTGTTACTTGAAGTGATCTCTACGCTACTGTGATAGAACATGTTTACATCAGATCTGAGTATCACAAGTTTAAGCCAGTTTGCTATTTTGAATAGTGTAGCCAATCATTAGTCATTTATTTGTTTCAAAACTGTGGCAAGCCTTCCTGGTGGCTCAGTTTTTAATGTCAACAATTTTATATTAACCTTTACATTTGTTTATTAATACTATAAAGGTGATTTGGAGTCCTTAACTATCTTCATTATCGCCTAATCTAATAAATGTATCTAAAAGATAACTATAGCAAACATCGTGCTCCTCATAGAGAACAAAAGTAAGGTAAAGATGGCCACTATTCATCTGCTAGCTCTGTATCACCATTGAATTGGAGGCTGGAGCCAGATGGCAAGGGAAGAAAAAGCAGGGCAAAGTATTAATATAAGGCCTGGAAGCCAGGAAGTGGAACTATCATTTGTAGACAATCTAATCATGCATGTAGAAGTTTTTTTCTAATACAGATAAATTATTAGAATTTTTTCTTAGTAGTGATAATGTTAATATTCCCCCTAAATATTAATATTATAGTAAATTCTAGTAGTGAGTTTATTTGATTGCTGGATTAAGATCACACACAAAAGACAGTTAAGGTAAAATGAAATTTTAAAAGATACCTTGTATAATAGCACTTAAAAATATCTAATAGGAGTAAACCTTACAAACGATGGAAGAATTCAAGTTGGCAGAGTGGCTCAAGTGGTAGAGCACCTGCCTAGCAAATGTGAGGCCCTGAGTTCAAACCCAGTGCCACCAAAAGAAAAGAAGAAACAAAAATGGAAGAGTTCTGCAAAGAAAACATAACACATTATTAAGAGAAATTAAAAGAACCTAATTAAATATATATATGGTCTATTTCACATTCTACAGAGAAAAATGCATATTGTTCAATCTTATAATTAGAGCTAGGGAATCAGAATCAAAGACATGATTGTGTCCTATGTAGTAACTGCTTATGTAGTTGTCCATTAATTCTGGCTTTTTTCCAGTCTTTGTTTTATAGTGAACTGATTAGACTCTCTCTTACTAGACGGTGACCATAGATAAACTACAGGGAAGTTCTGTTCACGTATCTACTGAAGATGGTTTGCTGAATGCCAACTATCTTTACTCAGAATCATCATTTCTATCTTCTGCAGCTGGGGACATTACATTAGGAAATATTCATGGTAAGCTGACAAAGGCTTAATACATGTCAAAATTTCCACGTAGTATCAATTTTAAGAGATGACTGTGTAGTTGAAGAAGGATCAGGAAACTGGCCTTCTAAATAATTAATTGCAGACTAGTAATCTTTTGAAAAAAACTATGTAAATAAAATGACTCAAACTAATTTAACATAATCTTGAGAAGAAATTGAAGATTATGCTGTTACATATGAAACTAATCCTAATTCTGATTTTTTATTGCATATTTTGTAACAGGAAATGAATACCAAGAAATACATGCAAATGAAATAAAAGGAGTGCTAAATAAAGATGAGTTTTAAGTGGTTGCTTTTATGTTATGATAGCGTAGCTGAAAGTTAAATTAATGAAACATTTGGGTGGCTCTAATTATAGGAACTCAGTGATACTAATTTTGGTTAAAATGCTTTATGTGCATTTTTATACTGACACCACATCTTCTCAGCACCTTGCCATTTTCAGTTTTCTTTGATTAAGTTTCTTCTTGTGATTTCCAAAACATGTCTGCAATATAAGCAATAATACCTAGTCAGTGTAAGCAGTAATACCTAGTTAATGTTTGTCTTATGGAAAGAAAAAGAGAGCATAATGGTGAGGTAGTATGGCACAGGGCATGCCGATGTTTACTTCACTCAGCCTGCTTCCTAGAGCACATAATTAAATCCAGGAGTGTCCTCTGGAATATACATATGGATATAATTAAGAGTCACTTATCCCAGAAAAAAGTATAGTACGTACACATCTGTCAAATGCCTTTTGGGCCATATTCTAGGACTTGAAATTTTTCCATAAATGGTTCACTCATTTCACTTCTATAGTAAAGCTGATATTGGTATCTGTATATTTTGGCAAAATCCCCAGATTCTAGTAGTGAGCACAAATCAGTAGGTGATCTTAGAAAGTATGAGTAGTGCTAGCCATGTCATATAGCAAATTGACAAGTAGCCTTCTAGTTTAAAAACAAACAAAACAAAAAGAATATATATCGAAATGATTCTTGAACCTCAATTTAACAGTTGAGCTTCAACTATTCTTGCAAGATTAAAGTATTATGTGAGCCCAGAATACTTGAGTACAAGTAGGATTGTATCCAGACAAAGATAATGGGTTTGTTTACTTTATTTCTTTTCTTTGTTCCGTTGGGCAATAAGTAGTTAGTAGGTGGTGGTAGCAGTAGTAGTAGTAAAAAAGTTGTATTTTTAAATGACTTTTATGTAAGCATTTCTATGTTAATCATAATTATTCTACCTAGTCTAGTGAGTAGCTTTAAGTGAAAAAAAATTCCTTATCAAGTCAGATGTTGGTTAATACCCACAGGAAAAACAGCTCTGTTCTCTATGCTGCTTTATAGCATGGTTACACTCATGCATTAATGTTAATGTATTTGCTTGCTTTTAAGATGGACAAGAATTGAACTTGGGATAACTTATCACCAATTGAGTATATATAGTCATACAGGTGTACTATTTTGAGCAGTCCTCAAAGTACTCTAGGTCTGTTGATTACTTAAAGTAGCTGAAACAGAACCACTGCTTGGGATAAGAGTTCATTCCTTAGCTTTTGTAAAGCCTTTTCATATTTACTGACCTTTAGTAGAAAGTCAAAGACAATTTCCCTCCGTGGTTTAAACATAGGTTCTCTTTTGACTCTTGTCTCCAGTTGGGTTTCCCTGAAAGGAGAGCACTCAGATGGAAAGTAGAGTGCAGCATGTTTGCTAGGGAGAAATCCTGGGACTGATGCCATGTAAAGGAAGGAAGCCTAATTTCCATGGGAAAAGTTGGACTGTGATATGGTTTCCACAACTCCACGGAGCCCTGAAGCTGGGATGCCCCCCAGAGTTTGTCTCAAGTTGTAGTGAGGGGAGCTGGACTTTTCTATTCCCAATCATTAGTTGCCAGCTGCCCAGGGAGCAGTGTGATCTTGGGCCAAGATGGCTCTCTGCAGCTGAGGCAGTTCCCAGAGAGGGCTGACTGCTGAGGACTGTCTGCCAGTAGTGCTGTCAACAGTTAGGAAAATAAGCCTTTCCAGGTACAAGGCGGCTCCAGGTCATGAATCACAACCCCTGCTCCAGTACATTTATTCATTCAACTCTCTTATTGACCAGTTGTTGTATACCAGATTTCCAGGCACCAGGGTGCAGAGTTGGGCAGGAGATGATTCCTATCCTTAAAGAATTCAGTCTAGTGGAAGGACTAATGTCTTTTCTTTCTTATTTTCTCAGTCACTACCATCCCATTGGGATGCTCCTTTCTATTTCTTCTTCAGTTGCTGTCCATTGTCACCCCACCTCCATGCAATGCACTCTTAACTGTTTCTTCACAAATCCTTTGGTAATGGTAGTATAGCAGTGAGCAGGACTTGGGGAAGGGAAAACCTGATGTAGTTGCTCTCATGTTGTTTAGCCCTGCTTTCCTCATCTAGTCTTGGTCCTTACTCTGCTTTGGCTTTTCATTACGTATGAGAAAGAAATAAGAAAGGAGACACTCTTCATTTCCTAGTCACACCCCAAGGCTTTGACAATTTTTTAAATCATCCTTTAAACAAGGCTAAGTTTACTGCCTCTTTTCCATTATCATCTTTATTTCTGTCTTGGTACCACGGTATTAAATGAACTTGCTCTTGAAGTTTAGAATTCGAGGGTAGATGGATGCAGAAGGGCAGGCAAGGTTTTTAGTTTCACACTCTGGTAGGTGAGAAGATTAGAGTCATGACTGTTGAAAGGGAGTCCCTGTGTTCTGTTAGAGTTTTAGTGTGTGGGTGGAGGTGGAGGTAGTGGGGAGTGTATGTCTCCCAAGGATCTTCCCAAGCTGGAACTGTGAATGTATGTTTCAGTGAATTCTTTGTTCTAAATGCTGATGTTATGTAACACAAATTAGGTGTATATTTTGGCTATATTTAAACAAACTGGCTTGGGATCTTAAAACTTATTTTTATGGGAAAATATCTTGCTGTTTCCTAGCAACTGACTTATAGAAAATAAACTTTGAGAATATATGCATTCAAAAGCCCATCTGTTTAGGATTTATTTAGTTTGGCTTCCTTTTTCTTAAGCCAGGGTTAAACTGATTTTTTGTCCAGGTAGAGTTGAAAGATCCAACATATTGATGTAAAAAACCATGCATAGGCAGATATGAACAATAAGCATCTTTTTTGGTAGATTTTACTAGTATATGAGTTTGGAGTCCTTGTGCCAGTAGGTGGGGTGGGTGGTTGTTTGAAAGCAAACATGTAATGAGTGCCTAAATTAGCCATTTCCTTCTACTTAATGGACAGTTAGCTGTTGATAGAGGAGGAAAACAAGATTGAGAAATATCTAATTGTTTACTCTTAAGTATATTAGTAAAATAATAAGGATTTTATCCTGTGCTCATGACTTTTAGGAGATGTACTTAAACAGTATTCAAACAAATTTGGGTACATAGCCATGACGAGCTCCTTGACCATCACTGACAATTCCATCATCGCTTTGAATGATTCCTGGCTCTAAAGATGTTTCCTCTGGGCAGACAGCACTGTACCACTGATGCTGTAATTTGTCCATGTTCTGTATAGTAATCTCCTTGAGCTTCTGGACCATTTATTAAAACCTTATGATATCTGGCAAAATGTGGATGTTCATATGGCATTCAGAACTTGACTCCTTCCATAAAAGTGATTCTGTTACCTTAAATGTATGGCTTCTGAGGCTTCCAGGAAAGGAGGAGAGACCATGAAATTTATTTTTTTCTATATTTTCCTCTTCATTAGGCTCAGCACTAACAGGTTAGATGTTGGTTTGCTGTCAGTTTGTCCTCAGCTCGTTGAAGACACTTAGAGACTCTGCTTCTTCCCCAAAGGTGATATTGCCAACTTCAAGCTTGTGGCTTCCATGAAAAAAAGAGAATGCATAGAGGATCACACAGGAAGTTTCAGAAACCAGACACAGAAGTGTGTGAATTATTTCTGCCCACATGCCCTTACAAAGATGTTTTCAAATGGCTATGTCCAACTGCAGAGGCTGACCTAGGTAGTTAAGAGTATTCTAAGGAAGGAGAGAAGCACACATATAGTAGTAGGCATTGGTGGTTTCAGTCATATCTTATATTTATAATTGCTCTTTCACAAATGTCTATGTATTCCTTTTCTTTCCACCTGTTTGATGTTGGTATCCTACAGGATTTCATCCATGACTTATTGTTCTTTCTTTACATGCTTTCCTTGGGCATCTTTTGTACGCTTGTATCTTGATGATTCAAATTTATATCTGTAACCCTGACTTTCAACTCACGTATTCGTCTGCTTGGTAGACACAGTCGATGGGATTTTCATAGGCATCTCAAGTTCGGCATTTCCAACTTCTTTTATTCCTTCTTTTCCAGCATCTCAACCTCACTATGATGCATCTCCTCAATTTCCATTTTCAGGTTTTGATATCAACAAATACCTAATTCCCCATGCTATACATCTGTAAGTTTCCTTAAATTCCTCTCTCTTACCTCCCACATCTAGTCATGTACTAAGGTTAGGCAGGTTTTAGCCTAACACAGCTCTTTAGTCTTTCCCATTATTCTCCTTCTGATTTTAGTCTTCTCTTTTAGAACCGTGTCATCTCAGTAATTTTGCCTCGAGCCTTGCCACCTTCAAGTCCATCCTCCTCACTATAGCTGTAGCAGTTTGTTAGAAATGCACACTGAATATGTCAGTCTCTTTTTCAAACCCTTTTCTCCTGCCTCATAGACCCACCTAACTTCTCTCTTCCTTCTTCTGACCTTATGCTTTGTCTTCCAGAATTATATAACCTCTTACTTTTTCCTGTACGTGGTCTTCACCTGCTGTATACCTCTGAGTCCTTGATCAGAGCCTTTGGTCATTGTGGTCATGCTATTCATATTCTACTGTAATGCTTTTCCCAGCTTTTTAAAATACTTCCTTGACTTCCAGTAGCCTTTCAGTACTCAGTTAGAGCATCTTCACCTTATCTCTAGCTTTCCATTGGCCCATAA